AAAGTATTCTAGCGATTATGAGTAGCAAACTACAATGTATTGAATATGTTTCCTTTCATATAATTTAGATTTATCTTTTTGAATATTTAATCTTCTATAGACTTTATTCTTGAGTCCTAACTTGTATATCTTTCAGCTCGTGTGATTTATATTTTTTTTTGCCTTTGTTTGATTTCTTTTATAATGTTGTAGAATAGTTGATGGATCTATACTCTAGCCATCTTTCTTTTTTTTCTTTTTTAATTCATCACCCTTTAAACAGTAAAAATGTCTAGAGAGTTCTGTTAAGTCCTCTGAAAGAACGTATGTTATTGCATTCTACTTCTACTGGTGAATGTTACATGATTGCTGAGGACATGGCCCTTGATAGGGAATTGTGGAGGTCGAGCATTAAGGTTGTAGGTTAGGGAGAAGTTGTGAATATTTTTACAGCGCACTAGAGTGAGATTAGCCAGTTAGGAGTTAGTTTTAGGATGCTAGTGGTCATCTACTGATGCAGGGCTTTATCTGCTGGTTATTATTATACCTTCCATCTATTTTGTATTTATTATATTGCTGTTATTTTATTATGATTCTATTGATGGTACTAATATATCGTCTCTGGTTACTTTCTTGAGCCGAGGCTCTCCTGAAAATAGCCTCTCTGCCTCTCGGGTAGGGGTAAGGTCTGCGTACATATTACCCTCCCCAGACTCCACTTGTAGGATTATACTGGGCCGTTGTTGTTGTTGTATTAAAAAAAATACCGAAAATTAATCGAACAGAAACCGACATGATTGGGACGGTTTCGAAAAGTTTAATTTTAGTTATACATAATAGAATAATCGAAAAATTAGTAGGATACAAATTTTATAAAATAACCGGTCAAACCGAACCATTGCCACCCCTACAAATGACAATTCAGTCTTATTTGTAAACCAAGCCGTTTTCCACCTCATTCATTTTATGCCTTTGTCGGCCATTCTTCTGTTTTAACAGCTTCTCTTCCTCCTCCCCTTAACTCATGATCTGATCATTCGATCTTTCTCTTTATCTCAAATTTTTATTTTCCGATCTTTCACACATATCTGATATCTGAACCATCCCCAAATCGGATCCGGGTCGTCCGAATTGATACAAAAATGGCGGCATCACGTCGTCTCCGTGATCTCCAAGCCCAGCCCGGTAACAAAATCTGCGTAGATTGTTCTCAGAAGAATCCCCAGTGGGCATCTGTTTCCTATGGCGTTTTCATGTGTTTGGAATGTTCCGGAAAACACCGTGGCTTAGGTGTCCATATCTCATTCGTCCGATCCGTTACAATGGACTCATGGTCCGAGATCCAGCTCAAAAAAATGGAGCTAGGCGGTAATGATAATTTAAACAAATTCATCGCCCAATATGGAATCCGAAAAGAAACTGATATTGTTACCAAATACAATACCAAAGCTGCTTCTGTTTACCGTGATAGGATTCAATCCTTAGCTGAGGGTAAACCCTGGCGGGACCCACCTGTTGTTAAGGAGGGTAACAATAGCAGCAGTAAACCTAAACCTCCGTTGAGTGGAAGTAGTAGAAATGGAAATTACGGTGGTAATTCTAATTCTGGTTGGGATAATTGGGATAGTTTTGATGATGGAGGAATTAATGGCGGTAATAATAGTAGTAATATGAGGAGAAATCAGACAGTGAGTGATTTTAGGAGTGGTGGAGGTTCTAGTGGTGGGCCTGCTAGGTCGAGGTCTACAAATGATTTTACGCAGGACCAGTATGAGGCGTCTGCTGCGAATAAGGATAATTTTTTTGCTAGGAAAATGGCTGAGAATGAGTCCCGGCCAGATGGTGTACCTCCTTCTCAAGGAGGGAAGTATGTTGGATTTGGATCAAGTCCTGCCCCAATGCCTAGGAATAATTATAATAATAATTCGCAAGGTGATGTTCTTTCAGCTGTTACTCAGGTATAAACATTGAGCTAATTATTCCTATGTTGCTTTGGTGTGTTATCTTTATCTATGTACTAGGATTTAACTTATATGTATTGACAGTGATTTTTTTGCAGTATGAGTGTAGTTTCACCTGTTGTAGCATGTTACATATCTTATTTTCGTGGTTATACATTATGCTTAATATAGGCAATTATGATCTATCGTTTGTTTATAAATGATGAGCCGATACTGTAGAAAATGACACTGTCAATATATAGGAGTTAAACTCATTTACGTATAGCTGATGAGGCTTTGCTGCTTGATGTGTGCAGGGATTCGGTAGATTATCTATGATCGCAGCCTCAGCGGCCCAGGAGTTGGGCTCAAAGGTACTTTGAGTTGACTTTTATACTAAATTGAAAGTCCATTAATCTTTTGATTTTTTGGAGGTGTCGTCATTGTTAATCACTGCATCTCTTTTTCCCCAAGTACATGTGATAAATATTCTGAAAGTGTGAGGCAGTAATACTAAACAGAAGAAAAATGAGGTTTTCAAGGAGCTCTGACAAATAAAGGTATTGAAAGATTAAAATCAGGAAATTTGGTGCCCAAAAGTTTTCTCAAGATGGAAAATGGGGCATCTATGTCTTGTATGTAGAAACTATTTTGATTTTTCCGTTCACTTTCTTTTCTATTAATTTGTTTTTTTAGGTTGAGGATTACTTTTGTTCACATGCTAATGCTCATAAAGTTAGTATATGTAGAAATCCATCTGCTAGGCAAGATGCTTGATGTGTGCATCAGATTAGAGATGGCACTGCTCTTGTGTAAACACGCACAGTGCAGAATCAGGTTATAGTTGTATCTTTTAGTCGCAATCAGTCAAGTTTTAAGGACAATATGAAGATTGAATTTTGTTCTGTTTAACGGAACTAACACTAGTTGCTAGTAAATATTAATAAATTCATTTATCTCTTGGTGCTAGTGTAGTTATTGTAAACAACTCTTTCAAGTTTCAAGTTTTAAGTGATGAAGTTGATTGAATTGCTGGTGTGAAATTGTGTTCGAGGGGTTTCTTGAGGTTGTATGTCATAGCTGTGTTTGCCAATAATTTTTTGGTTTGCCAATTTGAAGCCGCCAGTAGGTGCTAAGTTCACTTGTTTATGAGCTTTAATAAGTTCCACTTTTTTTCACCGTTTACTAAGCATAACCTATACTACTTTTAATATTGTTAAATAAGTTCTGTTAGTTCTTTTAATCTCTCTCTCTCTTTTATTTTTTTGAGTTCTTTGAGTTTATTGGTATTTTTCTTTGAGGTTTGTTATATCAAGTGAAACACAGGAACATTCATTACCTTAGCTTTCTAGAATCTGTGTAGGATATGTGCAGATGCTTTTTTTAATGAAGGGAATATTTAATATTCTTAACACCATAAAATCCTTAAATTTTGTAAGTAATTTGATAGTCATTTAGAGGTCATGCATCGATGATTTGAGAATTGCTAGTAATTATATTCACAATGTCATTTTTCAATTTCTTTTTTTGGATTTCATTTTCTATAAAATCTTAGCTAATTTTTAATATTCATGATAATTAGTACTACTTAGCTAAAATATACTCTAACTATATAATTACTACTTCTGCAACCAAATATGATGGCGAAAATTACATTGTAATTACATTATGATGTGTAATTATTTGTCTAATTACTATGGTAGTAAGTACACCACCTAGTAATTACACAGTGGTGTCCAAACACACTCTAGTGAAATTAAGACATGAAAGAAATATAGGTCTGATCCAGTTTTTGACTGAATAGTCTTTTAGTAGTTTGACAACAACACTTTGTAGACCTCGGATTGAACTGATTCAAAAAGCTACAAAAGCTTAGACATGGATCTACAACTTTTTTCAAGACCATAAGATATAATTCTGTTAGTTGCTATGTTGAAAGCGGCCACAATTCATGGCATGAGTGCTGACAAGTTTTTCACTTTAAGAACCAGAAATATTTTTATCGGACTCCCTCCTTTATACTTATCTTGAATTCTTTTTGGTATATTCAGTCCTTAGACGAGTACCTGAATGTCTTTTTAAGGTGCAAGAACTACTTAAATAACCTAAGGAGGGTTCTTAAGGATAACGGGAAAAACCACTCTTGAGAGCTCTAGGTAATTTTGTCTTAGGAGGAATTAATCCTTCTTTGTCATTTGGTTCAAGCTTTGGAGCATCAAATTCCAAGGTTTGCACATAAGTTTAGGACTTGGAGTCATTTATTTCTTCAGGTCCTATCTGAAATATGAAACCAGACAAGATAAGTTGAGTGAAACATGCTCGTGCTGTTTTATGAACTTTCCTGACTTTGAAACTTCACGGAGGACCTTTAAAATGTATAAGTTTAAGCCTTGCTTGTAAGGCTAAGAAATTTTAGGTTAATAGCTATTTGAAATCATTTAAGATTTTTCGTATTTTTCACCTCTCGGCCCACTGTAAGACCTAACAAATTATAAGACGTCTTGGCATCTTAGATTATAAATGGACAAATATATTATATTTTGAATCTCTTGAATAAGATGAGAGTCTTTGGAAATGCTTAGCCTAGCAAGTTTAGTTTAGTTTAGCTAATAGGAATCCTTCCTGGGGGATGCCATTAGGAAAAATCGGATTTGAGATAGTCTTTCACTATAATGGATCTTAGGGGAAGCATATGAAGCAACTCTTTCTTGCACTATATCATAACCAAACCTTTCCTCCACGTTATTACGAGTCTTTCTCCACCTCTCTTGTTTTTCTTCTTCTTTTGGGCTAGGTTCCTCTCCTCGTGTTATAGATGTTAATGGTAAAACTTCAAAAATGTTTCTCCATGTGATATGCGTTTAGGATTCTGATTCTTGTACTGTATCCTTCTTGGAACTCCTGCTAAAAAATGAAGAGATTCTCGTCTTGAGAGTTGCCTAGTATAGAAGTCCATATAATCAGTCTCTTACCCTTTATCTTGAAATGAGAAAGAAGATAGTACAATTGAATTGTATTATTAGAAACTGATATTTATAACCTAGTGTTTATAGAACATAGCATCATAGGAGAAAAGGTTGCAATGAAATACATAGTTTTCTATTATTTTATAATATTTAACTGAGTTGGGGTTGTCTTCTGCTGAAGTTCCAGGTTATTTTTGTATTTGATCCAATCACTTAAGAGTCCATAGTGATTGCCCATTGCTCCATAGGGATGAGAATTTCTATCAAATGCACAACGTTTTATTTACTGATTGTGTATATTTTAATCGAGAGGTACTCTGTTTCTTTCAAAGTACTGAGTACTCGTGTAGTTCTTCCAATGTTCATTTTTGTCATATAGTTTGTATTGTAGTGCTTCTAGTTTATGGACGAAGAATCAGGGAATTTGACTGTCAAGTATAATGCTTGTGTAATCCTACTCTTGCAGGTGAAAGAGGGTGGTTATGATAACAAGGTGAATGAAACAGTCAATGTTGTCGCGACGAAAACAACCGAAATTGGACAAAAGGGCTGGGGTATCATGAAGGGAGTCTTGGCTTTAGCTTCACAGAAGGTTGAAGAATATGCTGAGGGGGGTCCAAACGGGAAGGACAATAGCTGGCAACGAAGCGAAAATGGGCAAAACGGCTGTTATCAGGAATTCAGTAAGGAGTCTAAAGGATGGAATTCTTCTGGAGGAGCGCAATCATCTGGTAGGCATTCCAATTCTGTCAGCTCTGGGTCCTGGGATGATTGGGATGGTAAAGACAACAGGAAACAAACTTCTACCAAAGGGGCGACATCCAGTAATGACGATGGCTGGGCTGGTTGGGACGATGGTAAGGATGATGGATATGATAATTTCCAAAGTGCATCCAATAATAAACATGTTGGTCATGGTGGAAAATCAGAGTCCAAATGGACCGATGGAGGTTTCTTCTAAGAGTAGCAGATGTCACTTCTAGTAATTCTTTCCCCTTTCAAATAGATGTCATCCAGATTACCTGTTGGAAGGGTTTGTGACTGAAAATAGTTTATGTATGTACCATTATAAAAGGGGTTTGTTAATTGCCTGTCATGTAAAAGCAAAGAGGAAATGCAGGAAACATAAGACTGTCATGAAGATGATTGTTTTTGTGGTTAAATTTTGTAGTTACTTTTGGATTTGTAATGACCATAGTTGTATTAATATTTCTGCATTCTGGTTCTTCAATTGGAGATTGTCTTTAATAGCATACTATTTCTTTGTGTTGAACCAGAAAGTAAAGCAAGTAAATTTGTTCTAGTCCTTACTTGAAATCAAAGGGATTTGTGCCTGTGACTTTTGGTACCCCCTCATTTTCCATTTGCCACTTAAATCTTCTCGAGTCTTTTCTTTAGTACTGTGACATTAAAAAAAGAGAAGAAAAGGGACCACGATTTATTGATTAGAATCAAGAATTAAGAGTTTGATTCTCCATTAATTCACTTCTACACAGTGTAGAGGGAGTACTTTTTTTGAAGAAAAAACAAGTCGAAGTGAGAATATATTGCATATTTCACAAAATTAGCTGAAACACTCATTCAAATAGGAAGAATTGATAGCAAAACTTGGCCAACATCTAGGAAGCTTCTGGTTTCGATTATTAGGATCCAATTGAAACCTTGAGCTTTTGGTGTTGATTCAGAGTTCGTAATTGACAAAAAGAATGACGTCGCCCGGACACGAACCGGAGACCTTCAGTGTGTTAGACTGACGTGATAACCAACTACACCACGACACCTTGATGCTCTAAACTTTTTGACTTCTTTAATAACATAACATTTCGGTTTTAAGGGGCCTTTGGTACTTAGGATGAATAAGGTATGTTTGTTATCGAATTTCACAAGTGATAAAGGGATAAGAAGGTGTTATCGGCATTTTGTCAAGTTTAACTACCAGAAACTAACTAATACTGAATCATATTAATATTTTACTCCCAAGATTTCCTAGACTAACCTTATTCTTTGCAAATATTATTATCTAAATTATTGAAGCTGTATAAGAAGTGTTTGTCATATAATTTTAACAAACCAAAAGCAGGGAAAATACACAAATGGTTAGAGCCAAATGAAGAAAACACTAGAAAGGGAATAAATGGATACAAGTTTAAAAACAAAACGAAACCAAAATCAAAGTATTACACATTCGGTTGATTTTGGCTAGATACTAAGGTTACCCAAATCAAGAGCTGGATAAAGGAAGTTTTCTTCTTACAAGTGGTTTATCTTGAACAAGTGTTTCTTATGAAAGTTTTTGCATGCATTTTAATAACTAATAACTTGTTGATCAACGTTTGTTTTTCTTCTCTTTCTAAATTTTGTATTGAATCCGTCATGTCTAGACCATTCGGAAAATTTTGAAACATTTTTCATCTAACATGTTTCTTACCTTCCATAAGATTAAGCACTGCTTAAAAAAAAGATTATATAATAACGTAAACAGGCTTGCTGAAATCAGGGGAAAACAAAGAAAAGAAGAATGTGGTATAAAATCACGTATCATGAATTATATAATTGATAAAACTTAGAGAATCAACTAAAAATAGATTATATGACGACGGAAAGACGTACAATTTTACTTTTTCTAGTCGGTATACATAATACATTATTTATACATAGTTATACATATATTATACATGAATAACATATATTAAATATCCGCCAGTTATTTTTAGTTTAAGAGATTAGATGGGCTGCTATTCAGGTTAATTATTCTATATATTATGATGTACAACCAAACCTCTCTATGACAACTTCGTTTGTTCCGAATATTTTTGGATGTTATAGTGAAGTGTTGTTATATAGAACATATATTATAACATAACATGAAAATTGGTTCCGTAAAAGCTTGGCTTTTATAGTGAAGTGTTGTCATATAGTGTTACAACTATAATGAAGAAGATAGGAAATTCTAAGGAACCAAGAACAAGAATAGTCCCTGAACAGATTTTCCGGTGGACCAGTCGGCGCTGCCGACGGAGTCGATAACAAGAACGTAACTGAGAGAGGTAAGGAAGGAAATCAATTTCAATATCAAATCATAATATTATTTACAAGCCCTAACTTCCCTACTTATAGAAAGAATATAGCTAGTTACAAAATAGTCTCCAACTCACACATAGCTCACGTGCCATTTAATTTGGCTCATAACAAATACCCCGTTCTCAAAATCATCCTTGTCCTCAAGGATGAAAATATGCAAGCTCTTGAGATGAGGAAGAAGAATTCAAGGATCTTCCAGCTCTCGTAAATGTGTAACACCCATTTAGATCCAATACATTGACCATATCTGGAAATTTCCTTTGATGAACCAAAAAGACAGGCATACTGCAATTAGACATGTGGAATGTAAAATGAGAAAAATTGCTTCTACCAGGGTCGAATGTGAAGATCATTGCACATCCATTGCCTTCAAGAATAGCACATGTACAGTGCATAGCTGGCTCATTGAACCAAGCCTTAAAAGGCCATGATTTCTCTACTGCATTTCCAAAGCTTAAACTAAACATGCTTGACATGTGACGAACAACCCAACTACTTGCTTCGTAGTCCAGTTGTGCAGTTTTACATTCGTTGATCGGCGCAAAATGAGTGCAGTCAAGTAAAAATTCTTTGGAATCTTGAAGATAGCAGGACAAAGGAGGTTTTCTTCCCCAAGAACATAATCTGAAAATTGCAGACAGTCTAGCTTTGGACTTGCCCCTAGAATCATTTTCACAAAGCTCCGCCATAGTATTTAAATTTGAAAATTTTGTTGATTCTTCTAGGATTAATGTGACCTGCTAGACTTGGCACACACATGTAGCCAATGATTGCTTCTGTAAACTAAGTTCTTGACTCTTATTGTTCAAATGAAGTACTGGCCTTTCATCAAACATGTAGAGACCAATTTTAGCTCCTTTATATTTCAAACACTTCTCACCCAGATGTTCCGCTCTTCTAATTTGACTCCACCTGGGTCAAATGGGATTGGTGAACCACTAGCAGCCATAATATTTTGAAGCTGCAACAACCAAGTTTTCCTCAATTCTTTATGAGCAAAGAATCATTATCCACCCATGATCTATCATGAATAAATGCATAATCATGAGTTATTTTTCCCCAATATAAAGAATCAAACAACTCATTCTTCTTAATCCTATTCAATTCACTTCTTGGTTTCTGATGTAAAGCATGTTTATGGGCAAAACTATCAATTTCATTCTCAATATCTTCGGCCAAGTCATGCATATGACCTTCAGCAATCAAATTATTTTTACAACTATCAAACAAATCCGACTGGAGAATTTCATCAAATACATACCAGTCATGTGATGAGTCCTGCAATTTGGCATCTAAGTTCACAAGTGTATTCCCAAAAAGAGAATAAGGACCAAGAAAACCATGAATTATCTGGATATCCTTAGTGTTATTCATTACAGCAAGAAATGGCTCAAGGTTCTCCGTCTTTCCCTCATTGTCTTCACCAAAATCAACAGGATCAAGAACCACATTATTCTTCTTTAAATTGTCACCATTATTTTCATGTCCACTACTTGAAATTGCGGAAACAGATGTAGCGCTTTTGGCTTAAATTTCTTCGGATATCGGCAATTTAATTTTGGAAAAGAGGGAAACCAGCATCTGTTTACCTCATTAAATTGATCATGCTTGCACACTAGTTCAACCATTGATTTCTTGATGCCATCAATGTCTTGATGGATCTCTTGGTACTAAGTATCATCTATATCGTCTTCTAACGTAGTCATTTCTGTCCGAGAATCGAAAGGCTCTGATACTATTGCTACAACTATAATGAAGAAGATAGGAAATCCTAAGGAACCAAGAGCAAGAATGGTCCCTGAACAGATTTTTCGGTGGATTGGCCGGCATTGCCGACGGAGTCGATAACAAGAACGTAACAGAGAGAGGCAAGGAAGGAAATTAATTTCAATATCAAATCATAATATTATTTACAAGTCCTAACTTCCCTATTTATAGAAAGAACATAACTAGTTACAAAATAGTCTCCTACTCACACACAGTTCACGTGCCATTTAATTTGGCTTATAACATATAGAAATGTTGTTATAAAGAGGTCCGACTATAGTATTATATATTTGGTACCTTGTATTCCTTTTTTGTATAATTCTATGGTATAATCGACGGGCTCGACTAATCCAAATCCGCGTTGTGTAAAATCCATCAAACTGGAAATCACTGCCTATCGGGAGACATTCTATTTATCTAATCAGTAGGGGTATTTCTTAGTGTTGTATATATAGTATCTATTAAAACTACATTAGCATCTTGTGGCTGTAGTTTAGTGGTGAGAATTCCACGTTGTGGCCGTGGAGACCTGGGCTAAAATCCCAGCAGCCACATTTAAAGTCTTTTTTCCACATGAATCATTTGTATTCTCATAGTCCTAAACGACGCCGTTAAGCACTACCAGCACACACATCACATGTAACAAGCTAAATTGTGCCTCTTCGAAGCCACTTAGCAGAGGAGCTCGAAGGACGAGAATCGGAGATCGTCGCCTTTGCCTTCTGAAGAAATTTTCTGCTTCTTATTAATGTAAGTTCTCAAAATTTCACCTTCCCATGGTTATAAAATTCGGGCCATTTCTTCTTAATTCTATCTCTTATTTGGCGATCTGCTCCTTATTTTTGCTAATAAGTGAACCTGATTTCTTTGTTTTGTTGTCCTTTTTATTTTTCTCTAGTTCCCTATGTCAGTTTTTTATATGATGTGGATGATCAAATGAGTGCTTCATGTTATTTAAATTTACGTAATTTTGATAGGCAACTGTTGTCTTCACTAATTGCTTGATCTTCTTAATTCTATCTCTTATTTGGCGATCTGCTCCTTATTTTTGCTAATAAGTGAACCTGATTTCTTTGTTTTGTTGTCCTTTTTATTTTTCTCTAGTTCCCTATGTCAGTTTTTTATATGATGTGGATGATCAAATGAGTACTTCATGTTATTTAAATTTACGTAATTTTGATAGGCAACTGTTGTCTTCACTAATTGCTTGATCTGCTGTTTACTGCGGTTTGATCTGTTATATTAGAATTAGTTTTAAATTTTATGCCTTCAAGTAACTCCAAAATGGAGAAGGAATGTTCTTAGCTAACTCTAATAATGATCCCTAAAGATTGTATTCTTTTAGAGATAACTTGCCGTCGTGTGATTTTAGGTGTATCTCATTCCTTTTAGCACTTTTAATGACCATAATATTGCATCTATTGAGTGGTGCATTTGACGGTCTACGTAGAACGTGTTCAAATAAGCTCAAGCAGGGGCGGATCCAATGAAAATGTACCGGGTTCATCTGAACCCAATACTTTCACTGCGGACTCACTAGAATTCTCTCTCTAAACGCATTATGTCTAAAGTGGATTTGGTTGGGAGGCACCTGAATGACCCACCACCAGGCCCCCCACATGAAGTCTCAACCAACATCCAACCTATTAACAATTCGACACATAGTCTACCTATACCTATTCAAAATCCCCCGCCACCTACGAATACCACCGGTGAGGACACAACATGCCAAAACCACCAGATAATAGCCACAAACTCCGAGAATCTCAACCAAAATTCCACCGCTATAAACGTTGGAAATAGAATTTCCGTCTCTGGCACATCAACTACAACCCAACCCAACACTCTCACCCAAAAATTTATACCAGAACAACCAAAAATTTCAGCAAATTTTGACAAACTTGATCGGAAGAGCAAAAATCAAGGAGAATCAACCATGCAGGATAAAAGAAATGAAGAGAAGGCCACTGACTCACTTCAGATCCTTGTGACTAAAGGTGCAGTAGGTGGAGACAAAACTACTCTGCCTGGGATCAACAAATGGAACCAAGGTACGTCTAAACATCCTTTGATGTGGTTGTCCAAGCGGAATTACCATCCATGGCAAAATGTGCAAAAAATGTGGAAATTAAACATGGTACCTATCTAGGGAAGCCGGCGGTGCATTTTAGTGCAGAGGATTACTTTGTGAATCTTGCACAGGAATGTAGACTCACCTTAATTGGGAAGTTTTATAGAACCAAACCACCTATGGAGGATATAAGGAAGGCTTTTGTTAGCCAGTTCCACTTGAAAGGAACTGTTAAAATTGCTTACTATGATCCGCAACATGTTTATATCGACTTTGCCAATGAAGTTGATTATACTCACATTAAGCTTAAGAAATTTGTGGACATTAATGGTACTCCTATGAAAATTCTACTGTGGACACCTGATTTTAAACAGGAAGTTGAAACACCTATCGTTCAGGTTTGGATCCTCATTCATCAATTGCCCTGTCACCTGTTCAGATGGGAAATTATGTCCAGAATGGTTCAATCTGTAGGTGTTGCAATTGCCCCTGACCTAGCGACATATTCTAAGTCTCGGGGTAATGTAGCTAAGATTAAGGTTTAAATTTGGCTGGGTTTTAATACCATGGAAGGGGATGAAGGTGGTGTTTGGCTTGATGTTAAATATGAAGGAGTCCCTTCTTATTGCCTTTACTGTAAAATGCAAGGACATGTAGAAAGCATATGCTGGAGAAAAATAAGGGATGATAGAATCAAGAAAGAGAGGGAGGAAAGAATCAATATTGACAAAAGAAATCACCAACAAGATATTCCATCAACCAGTGGAGTCGCTTATAATAATGAGGAATTTAAGACAGTGACAAGAAGAAAAAGGAAAAATAACAGGAATGGTCCCAGTTCTAATCAACAGAGAGAGAAAGAGCAAAGACATGGAGCAGAGGAACTTAATTGATCAGAGAAAAAAGAGAAATGGGGGCATTGTCATCAGAGAACCACCTATGATCCCACAGAAGGAAGCTATACAAGAAGTACCAGGAAAGGAATAGACACAGGGGAACCAAAAGCAGCTCATACGGATGCAGCGGGTCAACAGGGTGCTAACCAGGATGATAAAACTAAGAAAAAAAAGAAAAGAAATAGAGCTAAAAAACAAGAACATATCAAAGAAAGGGAAGAAGCAAGAGCACAAATCCAGCATGGGAAACAACAAGAGGAAAGCAAAATAAAGGATAATGCAATGCAAATGACAGAGAATAACTCAAAAAGGAAAGATGATCAATGTCAACACTTACAACACGAGGAAGGTCTACAGTCAAATCCAGAGGTAACAAGAGAGGTAAAGGTACAGAAGAAGGAGAGCAGAAAAACATCTTACCCTATTGAGCCAGGAGAAATACAAAAGAAATTTGAGAAATTGATTTTTGGTACTAATCTGGAAGGCAGATCTAGTCATGACAATGAACCAGTGTCTAATGAAAGCTCAAATGAAAGCTCAGAATCTTCTGATGAAGAAAATGAGAATTCAGAAGATAATGACTATGAAGATGAGGAGGGCTCAGATGAAAGTGAGGAATATGCAAGTGTGGATAGTGAGGAGGAGGACGGTGATGATAATGCAAATAGACTGGTGGAAGTATTTGTAGGGAATGCAACAATCTCACATGCTGTGAATAATGTAATCAACTCAGGTCATTTATCTCCTCGGGGCAGATATGGGCCAAGAGAAGGCAAGGGAGCAGCCAGAGGAAAGGAGGGCAGATTCTCTTCTCAAAGGCCTACCAAGGCCTCAAAGAATCAAATTCTATCTGACCCTTAATTATGTTTAAGTCCCTTTATTGGAATATCAGGAGCATTAAGACCAATAGTGCTCTTGAAAGGCTTAAACAGTTGGTTAGATCAAATAATTTCCCTTTTATTGCCTTAGCTGAACCTTTTTATAAGGCTAACAAATTAGATAAGTATAAGAGAATGTTGGGTTTTCATAATGCCTATGCAAATTGTAACAGTCAAATTTGGTTATTTTGGGAAGAAGATTTGGACTGTATAGTGGTTGATGAAGATGAACAACAAGTCACTTGTGTTGTTAAGCATGATCGAATCTCGCTTCTCATTACATCCGTGCATGCAAAATGTGAGGATGAACGTAGAGAAGACCTGTGGGATAAACTAAGGAGTATTGGTGTCAACTTTAATTTACCTTGGTTCATCGCAGGAGACTTTAACTGTATTACTGATCCCATTGAAAAGAAGGGTGGCTCTCCTCATAGGATGTCCAAAAGCTTATCTTTTATCCAATGTATTATGGTTTGTGAACTAGTGGATGCAGGTTACAGTGGATCTTCTTTTACTTGGTGTAATGGGTGGTGCCCTAATAGAAGACTTTGGCAAAGATTACACAGAGTTCTGGTAAATCATGAGTGGTTGAACTTATTTGATTGTACTTCAGTTAATCATTTAGTGAGAACTAGGTCTGATCATTCTCCTTTGCTAGCTCTGACTAAATCTACAATACATAATCCTATTAAGTATTTCAAATTCTTGAATTTTTGGGCTGAGGAAGATGGTTTTATGAATGTAGTAGAGCAGGCTTGGAATGAAGAGGTGCATGGATCTCCTCTGTGGAGATTTCACCTTAAACTGAAGAACACTTGCAGGAAACTTTCTGAATGGTCAAAAATCTCGGTTGGAAATATTTTTGATATCACAAAGGCATTGGAGAATAGAGTAGCTGAGCTTGGAGAAAAGTCCATCACTGACAATTCAGCTAGTAACAGGGCTGATTTGAACAAAGCTAATGCTGAGTTGGTTAGAGCACTAAAGAAGAGTATTGGAAGCAAAAATCTGGAATTAAATGGTTTGTTGAGGGTGAGATTAACTTTAGGTTTTTTCATTCTGTCGTAATGGAAAAGAAGGAGGTTGTCATTGAAGAAAATAAAAAATGAGAATGGAAGCTGGATTGAAGGAGACAATGAAATCGCAAATGAAGCTATTCAGTTCTTTCAAAAACAATTTTCTAAGGAGAATTCCCAGGCTGATTACTCCCTATTGAAGTTGATACCACGAGTAATTGATGAGGCAGACAATGAGAAACTGACGACTCCACCAACTTAGGAAGAGCTTAAAGATGTTGTCTTTTCTATGAGTGTTCATAGTGCGCCTGGACCTGATGGAATCTGTGGAAAATTCTATCAGACTTGCTGGGAAGTGATAAAGAAGGATTTACTACTAATGGTGCTTGATTTTTTTTGCGGTACTGAATTACCTAGGGCATTTACTCATACATGCTTGAATCTGATTCCTAAGGTGGAATGTCCTCATCAGTTCACTGAACTAAGGCCCATTAGCCTTGGAAACTTTTCTTGTAAAATCATATCAAAGCTGATGAACCATATGTTGTGTCCCCTCATGCAGAAATTAATATCTCCATATCAGGCTGGATTCATTAAAGGCAGAGCTATTACTCAGAATATATTATTAACCCAAGAGATAGTTCATAATATTAATCATCTCCTAATATTGGAAATGTGGTGATGAAACTTGATATAGCCAAGGCCTATGACTGAGTTTCGTGGGAGTATTTGTGCGAAGTACTGAGGCAGATGGGATTTGCGGAAATTTGGATCGACAGAGTTAGCAGGTTAATTTCAACTATCTACTATTCTGTCAACATAAATGGGTCTCAACATGGTTTTTTCAAATCAAGCAGGGGTATTAGACAAGGAAATCCTATATCTCCTTCTCTTTTTATAATTGGTGCTGAGTTACTTTCCAGACTTATGGACTCTTTGCTGGTGGAAGGTTTTATCCCTTACTCTTGTGAGAAGAAAGGGCCAATATTAACTCACCTTTGCTATGCTGACGACACTATTCTATTCTCATTTGGGGATCTTATATCTTTGAAGATGATGATGTCAAAACTGGAGGATTATCAAAGGGCGTTTGGGCAGTTGGTGAACAAACAGAAATCTGCTCTCTTTGTATCCTCTAAGATCAATGACAACAGAATTGTTGATATCAGAAGTATTGTGGGTTTTTCACACTCTCAATTTCCTATGCAGTACTTAGGGTGTCCTATTTTTGCTGGAAGGAAGAAAATTATCTATTTCAACAATATGGTTGCCAAATTTTCTAATAAATTACAGGGATGACAAGGTAAATTGCTATCATATGGTGGTAAAGTTGTGCTTAGTCTGTTCTTGCATCCCTCCCTCTTAATCTTTTATCTGTTCTTCATCCTCCTAAAACAGTCCTAGTTCAAGCCGAGAGAATTATGGCAAGCTTCTTTTGGGGAAAGATGGAGGATAAAAAGAAACATCATTGGATAGCTTGGATCAAAATTATGTTTTCCAACTCAGGAGGGAGGTGTGGGATTCAGGGCATTGCAGGATATTTATAACTCATTTGCTGCCAAGATGTGGTGGAACTTCAGAACAAAGAATTCTTTGCTGACAGAATTTTTAGAGGCCAAGTATTGTGAAAGAAAGCATCCAGTTGCTAGGAAAGCTTCGTATAATCACTCTCACTCTTGGAGGAGGCTAATTGGCATTAAAAATGAGGCTGAAAATTATATTCTGTGGAGGATATGTAAGGGTGAGGTTTCTTTTTGGTGGGATAATTGGACTGGGAAAGGTCCTGTTGCCAAACTTGTTCAAAACAGACATGCTCATTAGAATATTAAGGTCTCTGAATTTTTTGAAGGGGGATCAGAACAATTCTACCTTCAGAAGTGGTCAACTCCATTTTGAATATTCAAATACAACAAGACAAGGCAGATTACCCGATCTGGACACTGAACCCCAAAGGAGAATTCACCTGCAAGTCAGCATGGGACAAGACGAGGAAGCAGAAGAGCAGGGCACTTACCTGTGATATGATTTGGCAAAAGAAAATGCCATTCAAAATTTTCTTTTTTATGAAGAGACTGCTCCAAGGTAGAATATCTACTGATGATATGATTCAAAGAATTGGTATTGTCATCTCCTCAAGGTGTGTATGCTGTATAAGACATGAGGAGGAATCTATTCAGCATCTATTCTGTTGCAGCCACATAGCAACACAAGTATGGAACTTTTTTGCTAATTCATGTGGAATCAAACTCAATTATGGTGCTTGCTATGCAATGGTGGTTAGTTAAGGCTAACAACCTTATTCATGCGACTGTTATCCAATGTCTACCTTCTGTCATCTGCCGGGAAATATGGAAGAGTAGATGTAGTGTTAAGTTTGAAGGGATCAACATGTCATCTAGAATCATTATCCAACAGGTGTGTAGACTTATGATGATGTTGATTAACTGCAAATTCCCTAAGATCCAGATGCCACATACTTGGAATGATTTGTGTTGTGCAGTTGAGAATGCACAACAAGTCCTCTCTTGCCAGGTGGTCAGGTGGACCAAACCAGGGGCTAACTGTTCTAAACTTAATTATGGTTGTAGTAAGGGCAATCCAGGAAGTTCCGGAGGTGGTGGTGTTATCAGGGATGAGATTGGTGATGTCCAGTGTGCCTTTGCTGATTTCTATGGACATTGTAGCAACATCATGGCTGAGGCCAAAGCAATGCTTCAAGGAATTATCATATGCAAGGATAGAATCACAGGTCATATTATTGTTGAATCTGACTCCTTGGTTCTTGTTAATATTATTAACTATAGATTAAAGCCACCTTGGGAGATTGGCCTGATCATAGATCTGATTATCGGACTGGTACAAGATGGCAATATTACTTTTGTGCATATCCTCAGAGAAGGAAATACGGTAGCTGATTCTTTAGCTAATTTGGTTGAAAGTTTGAGAAATCAAGTTATCTTTAACAACATAGCCTCCTTACCAGGTTACATTAAAGCTTTAGTTGCAATGGATAAAGAAGGCATCCCAAATCTCAGATTCAAAACAAAGAAGAACCAGTTTGTTATTAATGATGTTCCACATGGATAGTACTATTTTTTTGTATATTTCTTGTAACATCAGATGTAACATCCTTGTGTGTATTCTTTCACATACAAGATGCAAGGAAGGGCACACCACAAATTAGGCACAACACCTTAGAGCAAATGTACACAAGGATGAGATCCTACAATCTTCATTTTGCTTTGGAGGCAATGTTCTACATCTTCCTTCATGTATTGCTTATGTTTGATTATATATAGGTTGGGGTATAGCCTAAACCCCCCACCACCATGGTGGATATTTTGATTGAAAAAGAAAAACTTATATGTAAAAATACACTAATATTGAAACAAATAGTAGATGTGAACCCATAACTTTAAAAATATAATTTGTTCAATGCTAAGAGCCTTAAAGGTTGAACCCGTAGAATTTAAATCGTGAATCCGCCTCTTGCTCAAGTGACCTTCTCTCAGTTCTTATCATGTATACTTCTTGTAGAGCCTTTATCTAATGTGATCGTTTCTAGTCTTGTCCAATCTTATATGATCAGACATCCATTTTGACAGTCATCTTGTGTATATGTTGGGGTTTAGAGCTCAATATTCAATCCCCTATAACACTAGTAGTCTGAGCCTCACAACCTTTGTATAAAACATTCCTTTCACTTTGTTCAGCATCTTCATATTGCTTTGCACTCCTCTAGAATTCTTCCTTACTAACCTATTTCAGTTCTATGTGCTACTTCCTCTATTATGCCGTAATACTGTAGTACTGAGCTATCAATCCAATCGTGAAATTGAGTGAGTCAAAGTTTTCTCTTTTTTATTAAACATATTTGTCAAACAAACATGTGATGCTACATATCAAGTTAAAGATCTTTGGTACATTTGTATATTTCTTATCATGTAACTTCTCTTGTTAACTATATTACCATTTTCTTTCATTATTGCATACATTACAAAGCTTGTTTTATGAAAATTTAAATCTAACATAGTTTGCAATGTGTTTTGAATGAATATATTTTTACCTAATCAAATACTTATCATATAGGCCACCTGACCTAAGTAATTGAACTTGTCATGGAGATAAAAACATTGAAACCTGTCACTGCTTGCATCTTAATCATTAACTAGGTATCATTTCGACATTCATGGCTGCATTTATAGATTTGAGTGCTAGGCTTGCAGTGGCTGAGAACTCTTTAGAATGCTAAGGTCGAAAGAATAGTCTAAGGATATATAAACTTAACAACACATTTTTTACGGTTATGTCGTATAAACATCATTCATATGCATGCTTATTTCTTTTCCTTTTTCTTTCTGGTGTTTAAGGTATTATTATCCCGTGTATTTAGAAATATAAAATAGAACATGAGTCATCTTTGGTTAGTTGACTTATCATTGGGATACTCGAGACCTGTCACTGCTTGCATCATAGTCGTTAAATAGGTATCATTTGGAATTCATGACTGCACTCATAATTCAAATGCTAGGCTTGCAGTGGTTCAGAACTTTAGAAGGCTAAGCCGTTGTGCGGTATAAACATCAGTAGAAATGCAGTATGACATAAGTAGACTGTCTCGTTGTCTAGTGCATATGCATGTTTTCTTTTTCGTTTCTTTTTGGTGTTTAAAGTATTATTGTCAATGTATTTTGGAACACAAAATTGGAACATGATTCATCTTATGTTAAGTGAGGTCTCAAATGTTGGTTAAATTTTGTATGTATTGTTACAGATGATGGACGACCAGGACCTGGGCTTCTTCGCCAACTTTCTTGGTATCTTTATATTTGTGCTAGTGGTTGCTTACCATTATGTGACGGCGGACCCAAAATATGAAGGCAATTGAAAGTTTGTAGATCTGCTCATTCACTGATAGTAATGATCAGTTATTCTATATATAAGATTAATGAATTTTGATGTGCCAAAAACATTTTCTCCTGAACATGGAGTTGTATCGGCAGCAGGGCGCATAGATAACTTGGGTAAGACTATTGATTGATCATGCAATATTTCATACAATGCATAGTGTTAAGGTTATCAATTGAGTAAAGGGGATCAGAGTTCTTCTTTATCTTGCTTTCAGAAAATATTCTGGAGTTTTTGTTTAAGTCTACCTCTTTTTCTTTTCTTTTGAGGGTGTTCAAGATTAGTTTTGGGTCGACTTCTACTTTCTGAAAACTTAAACTTTAGGAGTTGTTTCTTTAAGGGGGAAAACATATAAAAATGTGGCATTCTTCTGCATAATCTTCAAATTTGAGGCAATATAGAGTTATGGTGATGTATTTCCTTTGTTCAGATTTATCAGTTTGTTTTAGCTTGACATGGTTGAAAATAGAGAAGAAAATATAAGTGTTAGGCTCAAAGGTTTCAGAACTCAGGTGTTTTTCTTATATCTGCTGTGATTTGGCTGAGAAAATTACTGTTACCAATATTAATATTGTTGGAATATTATGGAGAAGGGTAGAGGAATGGAGCCATTATCCATCGAGTTTTGAACCATCACTAGCCTCGAGGATTTCTCGGTTATCAAAATAAAGAATTGATAAATAATGTGGGAATATTATTGCAAAATTTCGTTAATGAATAGGGTTGCCTAATGGATCTTCCCAGTTCACCAATTCTTTTATACCCTCCTCTATGTCTTTTACTTCGCTCATCAAACATCTCATACATAATTCTATGGAACACAAACAAAGAACCATCTTTCTTTTAAGCTCTTCATTGCCTTCAATGGACGTTGTCTTGTCAGCAACCTCCTTTGAGTGTTCAAGAAAATAACTTAAAGTTTTTTGTTCCTTATCACTCATATAAGTTGTATACTTGCATTGTGACTTTCCCTCCTCAAGGTCATAAGGGATCTGCTCTTCTGGCTGATCTTAGGAAGCTCTTAACAGTCTGATTGAAATGGTTTTCCCGATACAGCTCATTGAAGAGCTTAGAGCCTCCTTGAGAATCTCTATGTCCTTGTTTATGTGTTCTTGAATATCCTTTCTATCATCATCACGGCTGTGTAGTGTTTGTGAGAGGGATTCTGTACTGTTGGCCATGAAATACAGTAGGTGCATGACATTTGATAGTGATTTATGGAGCTCTTGGTAGCAAGAAGCAGGAAAAGGCGTAAAACAAAAACCAGGTTCCAACTCTGCATCTAATATGAACTTTTGCAAGTCCTCTACTTGAGAATTCAGATGCCTTTGCTTCTCTATAAAGCCATTCTGCCCTGCATCCACGACAATTTGTTGAGTGCAATTTTTAAGTGTTCCTAGGCACAGATAAAGATGATTTTTCGCAAGAGTAGCTGCTCTTGTAGGTTGCGAAACAAGCTCTATGAAGACGAAACATGATAATCCAATTCAGGCCTCAGTGAGTCTAGCGATAGCAAATTCACCTGGAGGACCATAGCCTTTTCTGCCCAAAATCAGTAACGCTCCAATGACTGCTGCATCTCCTCCTGCTGTAGAGTACATCTTACGGTCCCTCAGAATTGAGGTAAAAGAAATCCAAGGGATCAGAGCTATGAACCTTAGTTTTGCAAAATTTTGGAAAATAGTGCAGCCTAGTACCCCATAGACTGATCAGCTGTTCCTTGTGCCCGAGCATTTGCAACTGTAAAAAAATTGCTTGTTTTCCTGTTTCTAAGCTGATTGCTAAGGTAAGGCCGGACCATTATCCATTTTCTCTATTAAATAGCAGACCAAGTAGCACAGCCAGACCTAACGAAATTGAACACTTGTACCAGTCTTTCGTTCATTGCCTTAATCCAATTGTTGCAAACTTGTTTGGAGCTAGCTCTGTCACTTCCCTGTGTATCTTTGGATCCTTTAGTTATAGGTTTAGTCATGGTCAAATTATTTATGCACATCTTGATACAAGATAAGAAGAAAAGTGCTGGTTGATCTAGGTTTGTCGGGAAAATTGGCTCATGGGGACAAACTGGAAAAGTCAATCTCAAAATTTTCTTCTGTTTCTGGAGCTACCATTGAATGGGATGGCAAAAAGCACCGAGACTGCTCCAGTTCTAGACCAAGCAGCTGTAGCACACGATGTGAGACGCTTATCAGCTCTTCATCTATCATTCTAGTTAGAAAACAAGGACAAGAAGTTAAAGCCATTTCCATTCCCTTCATTGGACTTTCTATATCATGCAAACCGTGTCCTGGGTCTGTGAAGCAGGGACTTAAGAATCTTAGCCAAGGTTTCTCCCACTGCAAACTTTCTTGTTCAAATGAAAGTGAGTGTTTAGGTATTTGAACTAACGCTGAAGGGGCTAATATTCAGTTAACCAAATACTATATTCTGAGGGGTTTATAGTAGGGACATTTTATGCTGTTGGTGTATTTCAACTGTTATAGAAGGTTATCTGCTTTATTTTCCGAGTTAAGACTGATGTTTGTTATAAGTAGTTGCATGTAACATAATCAGATAGTGTAAAAATCTTATGCAGTGTCACTGTGTCAGTACACAGAAATTAAACTCTTTTTTGAGTAGCATAATCTTACCTCCAAGAGTTTGATACTCTCAAGAATCTTGGATCCTGTTTCAGAGATGGGTTTGGCTTGAGATACTAGCTCTATAGCTATCTGCTCATCTCGAGTATGGACGGCTTTGAGATAGAGATTTATTCTTTCCGAAGCATTTTCAGTATACAAATAGTATAGTTTCAAGATATTAGCAATTGAATCTTTGTTTTCTCTGATTGCTATCTAAAACGCATCTTTATTGAAACTGTCTCATGATACAGCAAACAAATTTAGTTGTTTAAATACCAGATTATTAGTTGCATCGAATAGATTTGAAACCACAGAGACAATAATGCTCATGGTCAGAGGCTAAAATAAGGGCAGAGTTTATGGTTTAGGGCACTAGAGTAACTTTAGAAATTCCTAATGGGAAGAAAGATGTCAAGCTCGCTGTCAAGAAAATTATTACGGATTAGGATAGGATTCAACATTAACATATATACACTAGCAACGTAAAGAATTTTAAACTCTCAGTTTAATATAACTTAATTTCATGTTATAGCAGTTTTTACTTATTATGGATTGTTGTAGTTTTCTGAAAAAAGGGGAAAAAAATGGTTTGCTTGGTTTCCTGTTGAACAGGCCAGTTGATGTTGACGTTATATGGGTCAATGATTTGTAGGACAAAGTAGACAATGAGATTTTGTTTCTACTGTTTCCTGTGTATGGACTTCCCAAAGAAAAAAATCGAAGAATACAAAGCCATGTATATGGAAATGAATAAACTAGCTAGTTTCCTAAACTATGCTCCGTAATGGTTCCTTTTCGACTTTTTAACTCTTAAGGATCGAAAAAAAGTGAGGGGATAGGTCCAAGTTTGTAAGAAAATGTGTTTTAAATTTAACTTCTATATACTGTAAGAGTTTGATACATTATCAGTTCATTTAAATACATTTATGTGTAAGATTATTGTTACATAGTCAGTTGATATAAGTTAAATCTAAGTAAAAGTATCAGTGCTATTGTAGAATCTTTCAAGAATTAACCCTTTATTTTATCAACGTGATTACGACTCGGATCCATATTTGCATTATTCGATTGAATTCATGTACTTTCATCTAAGATGTATAGCATGATTACCTCAAAATAAGCTAGCCAGGGGAAAGGCAGCAACAAAGCTAGGACAGAAGCCACAGTTCCAAGAGCAGTACTATATGCAACTCGAAGAGGGTGCATGATAATACTGACATGAATTCCATGAACAACAGCATCAACGTACACTATAACAAGCTGTCCAAAAGCAATCCTCTTAGACATCAAACTAGTACTCTCCGGCAACGCCACCAAAAACGCGCTCGCTGCCACCATTACACCAGCCACGTGGGGCGAGAAGTTGCTGGCAGTGGCGAAGCCATGAATCCATAAGCCTAGCATTGAAAGTGGCATGGCTTGAAGTGTGGCATAAAATGCACTCCAACTGCCCCTTAAAACTTTGCCTAGGGTGGCATCTGGCACAATAAGTATGGCTGTTAGGTACGAAAAGGCGGGAAATGCTAGCTGTTTTGCAATAGAGGGCGGGCTGAGTAGAGCGGTGCAGCCGATTATCGTGCATGCCAAGGCAGTCCGAATGGCTTAGTGAAGCCTCATCCGCCACATGGCTCGAGCTCGTTTAGCTACTGTAGTTGCCATGATTACTATGGCAAATAAATATTTAATTTCTCTCAGACCTGAAGTAACTTTGACATTACAAACAAGCCGAGAGCTGATGGCTTTTGGTCACATTTACTATAAAAAAGTTCCTACATATGAAGTTTAGAATATATATGATTATGCTTGGAGGAGTGAATTTTGGAAACTCAGCTAGGTTACAAATACAAAGTGTTCTTGAGCCTACAGGAATTTAACCACCAAAGGATGTGGTGCAGTGGATGGGACTGCTCCTCCCTTAACCAGAGGTCTCGAGTTCGAGCTCTGGGTATGGAAAAATCCTTGGTAGGGAGCGCTTCCCCCCGAAAGGGGCCCTACGCGGCGCGAATCCGGATATAGTCGGGCTCCAATGCGGGTTCCGGACACCTGGTGGGAAACCAAAAAAAAGCCTACAGGAATTTATAGAATTTACTCAGTCAACTCATATATATACGTCTGGAATCAAACCTTATTACTAGCAGTTAGGCTAAAAAATTGCCAGATGCTAGAAAGCGAAGTATTTAACAACTGTAAGATGAAAGAAAAACAAAAACAAGATGAAGTTGAAAACATCAGTTTTTTGGCAAAACGTCTAGGATCCACTTTCATTGCTTTTTATTAGAAACGTTCTACTCAAAACTCTTTACAAGTTATTATCTTTTTTCGTGGGAAGGTACAATTGCTAAAAAAAATAAAGAATTTAACTTATATATAATGACAACGTAAAATTTTGTAATTGAAATTTTTTATATGCAAGTTAGTTTATCATTTTACCAAATTCTTAATTAATGTTTATCAACAAATTTACTTGTAATTACTTAATAAGTAATCTAATTATGCAAATATTATTGGGCAAAAGATAAAATTGGCCGGTTAGCCGAAACTAATTGCATTCACTAGCCTAAAAGTATATAAAATTATATATATTATTTTTAGCAGCGGCTGAAAATGTAAATTTCTCAATATTTTTTATACGTTCGTGCACAAATTTAAACTCATGATAATATATGATGCACAAAGATACTTTGGTCTACGAAAAGTTGGGAGCCTCTCAATAAGGTCACAATCAAAGAGTAGCAAGAAATTACTGGGTATCCTTTTGGCTAGACATGGAATTAGAAGTTA